ACGCTCTCCAGCCTCCGTACGTTGTGGGAATCAAAGGGGCTGCACGTCTCCCTCTGTGCTAATATTTTACTCTGATTCAGAAGCGGAGGCATAAATAGCTTCTTAGCTTGCAAGTGTTTGGCACTTGTTTGGAAAAAACAAAAGACATTCAGAATTTCCTGTTCCCCAAGTATTTACTGAGCATTCCAGGTGCCCGGGGAGACGGAGAGGCGACGCTGAAGCCGACACAGCCGGGCTTCCCAGGTCCGGGCGTGTGCAGCCGGGAGTTCGGTCTGATCTAGTGGCTTAGACGGAGGCTTCCGGCCAGGGGGACAGTTCTTCAGGGACTGACATGGCAGAGGCAGGAGAGGCGTTGCGTCCCTTTGAGTCAGATAACTAGTTTAGAGACGGAAAATGTACGCTGTATTAATTTTTCCAACTTGAGTAAGGGTTGCTTTGGGAGTTGTGTGCAACATGCTGCAAGAATAACTCCTTCTCATTACAGGGTTTACTTCCCGGGTCACAGGAGGTGGAGGACTGCACAGCCTGCTGCTGCCTTGAAGCGTCCCACCTGCACACGCCTTCCGATGGATGCCGCGGCCTGGCCTCCGGTCTGATCAACGTCTCCCGGTTTTGGACACTGAGGGAGAGGCCGTGCTGGGCCTTGAGCTTGGAGCCTCTGGCTCCTGGCCTGTGCTCTTTGCTTTGGGACAATCGTAGTCAGCTCGTGGGAACCCTCACTCTGACCTCAGCAGCGGGTGCCCTTGGCGAGTCACTTGCCCTTTCTCGCTGCAGTAAACGAAGCCTCCTGTTGGTGAAGACAGGAGACCATGACCGGCGCTGCTCTGCGGTGAGGGAAGAGCAGGCTCGGGCTCACCGGAACCGGACGCCGTGAGTGTGGATCAGTGGGGCGCCTGCTGGAGAGGCCGCACATCATTGCTATTGTGGAAACTGATGCTGCTTCGGGGCGCAGCCCCGACAGGAAGTCACCTGGAGGCAGGTGCTCCCGAACCCTCCACCTCCCGTTCTGTTCCAAGTCCTCTTCCACATCACTTCTCACCACCCAGCACGGTGCCCTTTTCTCATCGATTACGCCCCTGTCTCTCCTCCCACAAGACGCAGTCCGAGAGGGATGCGGTGTTGCCGGCCGGTTCACTGAGGAGTCCTGGCACCCGTTGGTCACCCAGGCAGTGTCTGCGGAAGGAATCAGTCTTGGGAGAGCCCCGATCGGCTTCTCTCACGCAGCTCCAGCCCACTCTGCGCCTCACTGATGTGAACCTCTCTACACGCCCTGGGCCGCCAGGGGCAGGAACATGCCCCCAGAATGAGCACTGCTGCGTGGGGCCTCACAGAGGCCCGGCCTTCCCCTGGGCCATCAGCAACTCCCCAGGCAGCAGGAGACAGGAGCCTGGACTTGACCAGTGGTCACAGGCTGGACCCCGGCAGGCTGAGGTAGCATTTTGACTGAAGGTAGGATGACTGCAGGGCTGTCCTCAAGACACGAAGAGACGATGGGTCACCCTGACCGCCCCTCCGGCAGTCGGCTCCCATCGGGACTCTGAACCCAGAACTCACGGCGTCGTGTGGCTTTGCCCTCTATACTCTGCAGCCGTGTTCCATCAGGGGTTTGGGATTTAAGCATGAGCGCCCATTCTCCTGGGGGCACCATTCCTGACAAGATAGGCACACCCTTTGCAGGGCCTGGGGCTGGGCCCTGCTAGCACTGCGCGACCAAACGCCTTCAGTTCCATAACGAAACAAGAGTGGGACAAACCATGGGATATTTTGAAAACATCAGTAAAAACAATGAAATAGAAAAATGAAACATTAAAGAAAAGATCAATCTTTGCTCTGCAGCTCCCCCAGGGACGGCCTGTCTGATGTGAATGTGGGCTTTCGATGACGGCCTGGCATGAGAAGCCGGGCTCTCGGTCACGGACCCGGGTGGAAGGCAGAGGCTTAGCGACGTGGGAGGAGGGCGTTTCCACGATGTGGACGGGTTCTGGAAGGGCCTGCAGGGCCGCCCTCTTCCTGAGAACAGTGACTGGGCCACGCGTGGGGCCCGGGGCGGGACAGCTGTGACCTGGAGTCTTCCTCCCAGCGGGGGAGGGGAGGCAGGACGGGTCGCTGTGACCCTGTCCTTTATACTGGGCGCTGTGACTCTCTGGACTGGGTTCAGGACCCAGGGCTCCTGGGAATCGGGGGTGGGCTGAGGGGCTCCAGAAAGGCTCGCTGAACTCTGCGAACAGGATCCAACCAGAATGCTGGAAAAGAGCGACCATGTGTGACCCCCACGCTGACCGCAGGTCGGACCATTTCTTCACACAGGTAGCAACAGTATATCGTGTTTGTGTGAACATTCTTTGTTTCCCCAAATTTCTTCTTTAGGTGCAATGCAGATATACAACAGAAACACCTACATATAGGACAGCTTGCTTTTGCCAATGAATCACACCTTGTTTCCTTTTCCAAACCATGCCAGTTATTCCATAACGTGAAATGTACAGGTTGTTTTTTAAAATGTTTATTTCTTTATTGATTCGAGAGAGAGAATATGAATTAGTGACCCTCAGCCCTCTAAAAACTGACCCCACCCAAGGGTCACCCCTCTTGTGAAAATAGCCGAGACAGATTTGAATAAAAGCCCGGGAGAGAGAACACCGGCTACCCAGGCGGCACAGACGCTCCCCAGGCGGGCGTGGGCCAGTGGGAGGGCGAGGGCGAGGACGGGGCGGGCAGGGCTCTGCCGGCCGGGGCCCTGGCGCCACGGGGCCAAGTCGTCAGCTCCTTCCCAGGAGCTCAGCTTCCGAACCAAGTCCACCCCAACTCCACTCCCATCCTCGCCATTTAAAAATGCAGCTCTGACCTCGGCCTGCGGACCCAAGGGTCCCGGGTTCGATTCCAGTCGAGGGCATGTACCTCGGTTGCAGGCTCCTCCCCAGCCCAGCCCTGGTCGGGGGCGTGCAGGAGGCCACCAATAGATGTGTTTCTGTCACAGTGATATTTCTCTCTCTTCCACTCTCCCTAAACATCAATGGGAAAATATCCGCAGGTGAAGAGGAACAACAACAACAAATGCAGCTCTGAGGGAGAGAGGGCAGCACCCCAGAACCCTTAACTGCCTCGGGAGCTCAGACCCCCCCAGACAGCTCATTGTGGTCACGTGGCCAGTGTGAAGCAGAGGAACGCCACTCACACGGGGAGGAGAGCCGCCAGCTGGGAGGAGAGCCGCCAGCTGGTGTGCGGGGCGTGGCGGGAGGGTGGAAGGGCGGAGTTTACCCTCTGCCTCTCTAGAACGTTCTCCTTCCCCTAGACCACAGGCTAAGGCACAGAGGAGGCTGGCGAGGGCCGCTGGCCAGGCAGGGTCCCTGCTTCTGCCCCGGCGTCCCCACGGCTTCTTAGGAAACCAGGCACTGCGACTTTAAGGACCAAAGTAAACAGGAAAGATGCTTTGTTGTTGAATACACACTGTATTTAACTTTTTATAATCCCAGAGAACTGAAATGCAACATCTGTTTGAGTTGATGTACATCCGAAGACTGACGACTCAGAGTTTCCGAATGAAAGTCATTTTAAGGCACTCGCAGGGCCAGCCCGTCTCCTCCTCCTCCGCGGCCGTTCTCCAAACTGGAGCAGCCCCGTTCCGCTCTGCCAGGCCACACACCGGTGCCTGCTTCGCCCCTGCTCATTGTCCCAACCCGAAAACCAGCCCAGTTCCCATTGGAAGACAGAGAGGAAGGCAGTACATGTGGGCGTGGGGGGGGTGGGGGAGACCACAGAGAGGACACAGGAGTAAATTCACACGCGGTGGCAGCCGAGAGAGGGAGCAGGAGGGATGGAAAGGGTGTGGACCCGCTGGCCGGCGAGGAGGTTTCCATATCAGCTGGTTCCTTTGCTCTTTCTTCATTTTGAAACATAGGGCTCATATCAGGCTGTGTCTCGCCCCGAGGGGAAGTGTGTGGACAGGTGGCTAGCTGTGTTCACGCACCGGCTGGTCGCAGAGACAGGCATGGCTTGGGAGCTCTCAAAGGCCCCTGATAAAAAAAGGGCCCCCTTCCTGGCCCACAACAGTGCCCGAAACCCCACCCTTAGAGCCACTCCTCTGGGGAAGGCATTGTCTGTGGTCACTATCAAAACACAAATGTCACCTGGGGGGAACACTCAACTCTTCCCACGCACGGACTGAACTGTCCATCACCCGTCAGAGTAGGACCCTGAGCGATGGACACAGGGCAGGGCATTCTCTCCCTGGGGAAGGAGGCTTGGAGTATGGACCACAGGGGGACGGGGGTGGCTGACCGTGGGTGGGAAATAGTACTTACTGGCCTGGAGTTATCAGATGGGGAGGTCGGGTAGCGGAACAACTTGTCCCACATCACAGTTCCCTAGGGCGTGTGTGTGTGTGTGTGTGTGTGTGTGTGTGTGTGTGTGTGACAGTGTGAATAGATCACAACGTTCTGTGTATACATCTAATATGGAACCCGCTTGCACACCTCTGTGATGGTGATGGTTTGAACATGGCATCTGCATGTGCACACACACGTTCACACACATCACACACACACTTACTCACACTCAGCAGGGAGATCTTGTGTGAAGTGGGAGATCTCTTCTCGGCCATCTGGGGTTTGGATGCTGCCCAATTGTTGGGAAGGACTGGCTTGGGGCAGTGTGACTCCTTCCTCTGTCACCAGGAGACCCTCCTTCAGTTCAGGTGACTCTGCAGAAGTGGGCAAGGCTGGGGTTGTACAGGCTGGACGGGCCCAGCCAGCGTGGCTCAGTGGTTGAGCATCCACCTATGAACTAGGCAGTCATGGTTCCATTCCCGGTCAGGGCACAAGCCCAGGTTGTGGGCTCAGTCTCCAGAGGGGGGTTTGCAGAAGGGCCGATCAATGATTCTCTCTCATCATTGTTGTTTCTATTTCTCTCTCCCTCTCCCTTCCTCTCTGAAATCAATAATAAATAATGAATGAATGAATGAATGAATGAATGAATAAATAAATAAAACACTGGAGGGGCCTTCTCACCAGGATTAGGATTTGGTGACATGAATGTCACCGAAGTGACCTTGAACCCTTGGCCTTTGGGAGCCGAGGGAGGTGCGAGTGGAGAGAGGACCTGGCAAAAGGCAGGCCTCTGCTCCCAGCAAGGCTGGTGGCCTTTGTCCGAGAGCCGTCCCAGGCTGGGCACAGGCACAAGCACCAGGCTCAGGGGACAGTGGTGGGACCTGCCACTCCTCAGGGACCCGCTCAGGGTGGCTGACCTGTGGTGGGGGAGGGGGAAAGGGGTTGCGGCGGGGGGAGGCTGAGGAACAGGAGGAGACCACTGCCATTTCTCAGTGGCCTCTCCCACTCTTGGAGCCGAGAAAGCTGGGGAATGAAGGATGTGGGAGGCGAGGTGGGAGAGCAGACGCCAGAGGCCTCTCAGCCCAGCCCCCTGCAGAACCATTAGGGTCTCCTTAAAACACGGGTGCCGGGCTCCATGCCGAGACCACGGTGCGGGAGGTCACCGAGCTCGCGGGTCTCTGATGTGCAGGTGGCGTTAGAGGGCGACACTGGAGCAGGGGCAGCTCAGTTCTGAGTTGGGCGGAGGGCAGCTGAGTGCCAGCCCCCGGGCACGTGGAGAGGAGAGGGGAGGCCTGGTGCCGGGTGGGGGCAGTCCTGGGGCTGCTGTTTAGACAGTCAAGCTCCGCTGATGGGCGTGGCTTCACAGCCTCTCCAGCTGGTGGCTTCTAACCCACTTCTGGTTGAAAGTCTGGTTGGGGGTGGGTGTTTGGACTCAGGGAGGGAGTTTCCCCCCATGTCTGTGGCTTCAAAGTGGAATAACTCACTGTGCTCTATGGGGCCAAGAAGACAAGTTCTGGGCCTGGATACTTCAGAGATGGGACTGGGTTTTCCGCTGTGTAATGAATACATATTCCATAAATAAAGCAGCGAGCAAGCCAGTGAAGACACCAGTGAGCAAGACAATGCACACCTCCTGTGCCCCCTTAGGGTGGTCCTCCCCTTGCCCCTTGCCCCTTGCCCCTGGCGGCAAACACCATACCCTTGGCTACTGCAGCCATCCAGCCTGGCTGCACGGGGAAGCAGGACGCTTTGACCCCAGCTCTCCAAGGTCAGAGACATCTCCAGAGTATTGACATTGGCCACCCACACTGAGAGGGAGAAAGAGGGGAGACGCACCTTCCCTGTTTCCCACCAGGGAGGGTAGGAGGGAAGGCAGGGCTTGGGGACCAGGGCTGGGCCACCTCAGGTAACTGAAGGCCGGATGAGCAGCCCTCACCCTGGGCAGCTTCATAAGAGGGTTGGGCATGGACTGGAGACCTGGATGGACCCAACCTTTACACACAGAAACATACAGCAGGCACAACCCCCTCAACACACCTCCCCAGGAGCCAACCCGCAGCCCTGCCGGTGGGGAGGTGCCCGGCACGTGGTGGGTGGGAGGGGGCAGGTCACTGGATGGGCGGGTGGCGAGGAGACAAGCAGGATGGCATGTGGTTTATGGGAAACCAGTTGTCCAGGGCCTCAGGTTGGGAGCCACCAGCCACGCTCATTCCCTCCTCAGTCTGCCACACGGTTCTGCTGGCCGGGTGTGCCTTGTCCTCCGAGGTGACCTGCACGTGGACATGGAAACATGTGAACAGAACGGCGTTAAGACAGCGACTAAAGAATGCCATTCCTTAAAAGCAGATCTGAGCACCGTGAATAGATTTCAAAGGGACAATGACCCTGACATTTTATGCAAAATTATGGGTAATTATTTACACACCCATTAGGAAAGATGGTCTGTAGCATTTACATGGTTCTTTAAAAAATGATGGAACACTAAAGTGGTATCAAGGGATTGCAGGTCGTCTGTAGGCACAGCCCAGCGGCCAGGTGCAAAGGACCGACAGAAACGGTGGGCATTTCAGACCCCTGGCCCGTTCTCAGTGTCGAGATTTGCAGGAATCGCTGGATTCGGAGGACCAGGGCTCAGTGGGGATTTCTGCACGTGCCTCAGGCTGGCTGCTTGACGGAGTCTGCACTATTCAGCCTGAAGCTGTCAATCAGGTTGTCTTTAAAAAGAAAACTTGTTTCCACTGTCTTTCTTGTGGGCACTTGTCCGCATGGCTTTGTGTAACAGCTGTGGTCCCGAAGCAGTGGGCGAACTGAAGTTTGATCGGTTTTTGTGTTTGTATCTTTGGGCTTCTGATACCTGGGGCTGCTTACAGGGGTGCTGCCGGCACAACGGGGCCCAGGGTTACAAGTGAACACTGCTGCGCTTTCAGATTTCATGATGGTTTCAGCTCTAGGCAGAACGTGCCCGGGTTCTTAGGTAGGTGGCCACTAAACTTGTTGCAATTGTTGGCAGTTTGCAGACCACCCATTACCATGCCAATAGGGACTTAGGAGCCTAGAAGCCGATCCGGAAACTGCAGAGGAATGGCTGCCACGCTCCGTGTCGGCGAATGCCAGTTTCCCCTCCTCCCTCAGCGCCTGGTCTGCCAGCCAGTGGGATCTTGCCTGGCCCAGAATGGCAGAATGCTGGGTGACAGGTGCGAAGTGGCACAGGTGTGCCGAGGCCTGCGATGACCTCAGAGTCTGCCTGCTGCTCATGGGCCAGGAGAGATGTCCATGTGCAGAATTGCAGCCTCATCACGAGGGTTCGCCTGACCGTTACCTTCGGTGCCATGTCACCCCTGTTTTATTATGTAATAGATTTACAACGCAGTAGGGTGCCTTGGCTTAGCCTAATCTTTGCACAGAAACTCCTTTAGTTGCAGTTTCCCCCAAGGCGAGGCAAAGCCGTAACCTTGAAGGGGTGGTGAGGGCACCGAGAACGGGCCTCCTTCCCAACCGACAGGTGGGAGCGGGGAGGGCACCTGCGTGAACAGGTCGTGTTTGGCTGCAGATGTTTTCGAATCAGAGGCGTTTACAGCTGCTTGTTCTCTCACAACAAAGGCTGCTTTCTGTTCTGAGGAAGGCGCCAGCGAAGGCCTTTGCCTTTGATTTCGTGAGTGGTTTCCAGGAGCAGGTGTTTGATGGCAGGGCCAGAAGAAATGCTTCAGGTCATTCAGTTGCCGGGGTCTGTACTCCCTGGTGCATGCACCTGTGTGTGAGTGTGTGTGTGTGTGTGCACAGTGCGCGTGTGTTCTTGTGCGTATGTGCAGGTGTGCATTGCGTGTGAATGTTCGTGTGTGTGCATGTGAGCATATGTGTGTGTGTGTGAGTGTGAGCATGTACACTACGCACTAGGGGTGGGGTAGAGCCTCAGCCCCTCATTATAAATGCATATGCAGGCCCTTCTTTCCGCCCTAATTAATTAGAAGTGATGGCTTCCTCATTGCTGGCACGGGAGGGCGTGGGCTGGGTACTAATTGGCCTCTTGCTTTCAAAGCCCCGTTTGATGGGACAGTTCTCAACGGGAGGTGCATGGTCACCTTTCCTGTTGTTTTCCCAGGGAGCGTCTGTGTGGGACTCTAACTGGATTGGAGGCTGGGGTGATGGGACGAGAGCTGAGGGGAGGTGACCCCAGTGCCTGTGTGTGGATGTGGCTACAGGTTTTCCCGGTGCCTTTCCTCAGAGGAGCTCAGCCCTTGACAGTGCTTCCTGTCACTGACCCCTCCCTCCCTGAGTCTCCTCACTGGCAGATGCTGATACTCTGGACAGAGAGGGCTCCGGGAGCACATGCCTGGGGGCAGGTTCCTGTGCTGTGCGCTTGCAAAGCTTCCTGTGGGCATCATGGCCTGTGAGTATCGTGGCCTGCGGGCACCGTGGCCTGTGAGCATCGTGGCCTGTGAGCATCGTGGCCTGTGGGCACCGTGGCCTGTGGGCATCATGGTCTGTGAGCATCGTGGCCTGTGGGCACCGTGGCCTGTGGGCACCGTGGTCTGTGAACATCGTGGCCTGTGGGCACTGTGGCCTGTGGGCATTGTGGCCTGTGAACATCGTGTGGCCTGACGCATGGCAGACACTGTGTGAACACTGTTTGAGAGGATGGGATGCGGAGGGATCTCATCCATTCTCCTTGAGAAGAAAACAGGGTAGAAGTTGGCAGGAAGTAGGCAGGGACAGGTGAGACGAGTCTGGGGTCCAGGACGGACCCTAGGGGCTCACTCAGCAAGTGCAGGGTGGGTGTCTGCACAAACTGAGTGGGTGCTCCCTTAAGCTGTGCACCCTGGGGCCCGGCCTGGAGCACGCATCGCCCTGGTTCCCATCTCCTCCAGGGATGGCGTCGGCCAGCTGAGACCAGCCCACGGTCAGCAGTGCTTTGCCTGCGCTGTCTGAACCCTCCGATGCCCCAGGGCCAAGTGCTCCCATTCCGAGGTCTGCTTCCCGCTCTAGGCGTCCTGACCCAGCACACAGCTGTTTTGAGGGTCACGCCACGCTTTTGGGTTGGCGAGGAGAGTGGGCGCCGGGGGCAGAGGCGAGGCTCCTGCGTGGGGCCTGCCGCCTGAGGCCTTGGTCAAGTTGGTTCTGGCGAGAAGAGCTGGGAGGGTCTCTTCGCGACCACTCCCCAGTTGGAAAAAATACCTGTCCCCTCAGAGAGCCGCGGGGGGGGGGGGGGGTGAGGGGGTGGCCCATCTCAGGGAGAGGACTGGTTGGGCTGTGGGAACTGGGAGGGGCTTGGGAAGCAGCCTGGAGGCAAGGCTGTGGCTGTGTGGCGGGTCCAGTGGAGCCACAGCAGGCAGGTGGCAGAGAGAGGGGCCACACCAATGTGGCTCCAGCCTGGGGGGGGGGGGGCAGCGCAGGTGTGTGCACTGCACAGCCAAGTCGGCAATGCTCCCTCCGGACTGAGGTGTCCCAGCCAAGGCCTGTGGCATCGGGGACCCTGTAGGGACAGGCATGCCAGGGGAGAGCCACAGAAAGGTAGGTAGGTAGATAGGTGTATGTACTAGTTGTATGTATGTATGTATCATCTATTCATCTATCATCTTCTAGTATCTATTATCTATCTATCTATCTATCTATCTATCTATCTATCTATCTATCTATCTAATCTATATCTATCCATCCATCCATCATCTATGTATCTATCATCTATCCATCTATCTACCTACCTATCCATCCATCTATCATCTATCTATCTTACTTTCCCCTCTGTTTCTCTTGCCCGAGCCCATGGCAGGTGAGCTGTCCCCGGCTGCTTCTTTAGTCGCCTTAAACTAGGCGAGTGGGGCTGGGACTTCAGGTCTGGGCCAGGTCTCGCGTCTGGCCTCCTTTCCTTTTCAAAAGACCTCCCAGAGTTGCAGCGGCCAATGCAGTCCCGAGCAGATTGCTATAGGGCCAAGCAGCAGTCCCTTCCTTCCTGACTGCCAGGGTCCAGGCCTCCCCAGCCTGGTGCCTGAGGAGACCCCTCCCGCACGAGGCCAGGGTCACTGGCAGGGAGAGTGGGTTTCCCTGAGGTGGCTCTGGGCTTCCAGGAGATGGGGCTGGAGGGCCTGCCACTCGCCCTGCACCTGGGAGTCCACGGGGCGACCACACCGCACAGCAGGCAACACGTAGATATTGGGGTTGTTTCTAGACATCATCGCACTGTGTCTCCCTGACTGTGGCACGGGCTGGGCTGTATTAGCGGCTACGTTAACAGAGGAGCCGAGGCCCCGAAGAATAAAGTGACTCATTCAAGGTCTAGTTCACCAGCTGGTCCAGGTAACCCCAAGACTCTGGCCTCTGACCACAGGGCACCTCAATGGGCCTCTCTTCCGATGTGGGTCAGGAGAGAAAGCTGACGGCACAGAGCCTGGGGACTGCAGAGAGCTGCATCTGTCTGTCCAGCCACACCAGGGACCCATTAGGGCAGACCCCACAAAGGCCACCTTGTCCTTGTCCCGGCCGGTCAGCCCTGCCTGAGGACAAGCACAGAAGGGCCCTTGCATCGAACTAGGGGAGGAGGCCCCGTGAAAGTGGGTAACGGTGTGGATACAGGAGGCGGAAGCTCGAGTCCTCGGAGCACCACTAATATTGGTGTGACCTCGGCCAGGTCACTGCACCTGACTCCGCAGATCCCTCGCCTGTAAAACGGGGCTACAGAGGAGTCTTCTAGGGCCTAGAATCTAGGCGGGTGAGAAGAACATGAGAAATGTTTGTGCCTGTGCTACGCACACTGTGGCACATGAGCCAAGGGGCGTCTCTGCCATTAGTAATGGGGACAGAGAGAGGGGGCCACACAAGATTTCCATCTTGAACAGGGACGTTTGCTTCTCTACTTGAGAAGCAAAACCCTTTGTAAACTGTGAGCTACTGTCCACAGCAAGGGAATTGTTAGGAGGCCCGACGGGAGTGACGGGTCCATCACTGGGCGGGGCGAGCACCGTCCCCGCAGATGCGTTCCTGTCCAGCGTGTGAGAACGGCCAGTGACCTTGCCTGTCCTCTGGCCGCTGAGCGGCGACGCTCCTGCAGGGCCCCCACGGCAGCTGCCTGGGCAGGGAAACGGGAACCAGCTCCTCGGATCCCAAAGAAATGAATGGCAATGACAGGGGTAAAAATATCTGCGCGCGGAGCTCGCTCGCTCAGCGCCTTTCATCTAAGGATCGTTTGGGCTTAATTATAGAGCTCAGTGCTCATTGGGCTTTTGATTAATTTTCTTTTCAGCTTGAAGAGGGTGAGTGTAGTGGGTCTGCGTGCGCGTGCGTGCGTGCGTGCGTGTTTACATCTTTCTTTGCAACTCAGTTGGGAGCTGGCTCTGGCGGTGTTTAATTGTGTCCGCGGCTGTTCGATGTGCCAAGCAGAGCTGGCGAGGCCATTGTTCACGCTGCCCCCGCCCCGCGGGCTCCTCCTGCCGGGATGAGGGGTGGCAGGGCAGGGCCTCGCGCAGCTGGGGCCTCAGCTGCGTTGCTTGCTCCCTCCTCCTGCGCTTATGGCGCCTCAGGGATCCCGAGACCCCGAGAACAGACTGCTCCTCGCTAATCGCCAGTGCTGCTGAGAGCTGCCAGGCAGCGCCCCCACGCTGTGCCCAGTGGGCATCTCCGGCCAGTCTCCCTGGGTTACACGGTTCTCGGCATAGAAATCAGTGTTCGCTTATTTTTAATACATTCACTTAGTAGATCGGGCGAGGCTGCGTGGCTGCGTAGGAGCAAATGACTGGCTTTCTCCTTCGCTTCCCTCTCTTTTGTGCCCTCCTGGCAGGGAGCACCAGGGGGGCAGCTCAGGGCCTGGGCGAGCAGGGGATTTGGAGCAGACGGCCCAGCTTGAACCTGCTCCTGACATTTTCTGTTTGTGTCAATGAATACGTCACTTAACGTCTGTGTATCTCAAGGCAGTGTTTGTAAGGTGGGGATGATAATAATGATATTGCACGCCTCCAAGATGGTCTAGGGGTGAGAAAATGCATATGGAAGCCTTTTGTAAAATATAAATCACAGTTCTTTTATTTTGCTGCTCAGAACATGACTTGACCTGTGAGATAACACGCCTAGCACCTGGACGGAGGGCGTCATGAAACGACCTCGGATGGGACTGGAGAGGGGACGAGCCTCCAACCTCCCCCATGCTGTGGACCAAAGCCATGACCCAGGAGGTAAAATGTGCGCTGCAAAGGGCCCGATTAAGAGCTCAATTTCAAAACAGAGGCCACAGATCAAACCGATCAAAGGGAACCTGGAACGTTCATTTTCTAACATAATTGTAACAAGGACCTCTCCCGTTCTTTAAAGGGTGGATCCAATCGTCTCCAGTGCTAAGAGGGTGATGGTTCAGGGTGGAGCCCAGAGCGGACGGTGGGGCTCAGGTAAGTGTGACTGTGCTGTGATCCGAGGTGTGGGAGGCCCAGGCCCTCCTCTGGGCTCTGCTGGTAAGTAGGGATGTGGCCCTGAGATGAGCTAATTTAACTGGACCTCAATTCCCTTGGGATCGTGGAATAAAAGCTCTCAAAGGTGACTACAGTGAAGAACCTATGTCTCAATGAAATGCTGTTTTCCAGAGTGTGTGTGTGTGTGTGTGTGTGTGTGTAGAATCCAAATGTAATCCTAAGACCAGCCAACTAATCAAGGCACTGAATGAGTCCCTTTAACCTGATGGCCTCTGCCGCCAGACCTGGGGGCTCTTGGGGACACGCCTGATGGGAGCAGGGAGGGGACCTGGAGGTGACTCCCTCTGGAGAGCCCTTCACTTCGCAATATCCTGACTGTGCTGAGGGGCATGATCGAGCCTCACAGACAGAAAAGGGTGTTTTCCTGTAAAACGGCGATCACTTTAAAATAATTGGCTGCAGGGCCCTAGCACATCGTCAGGAGATTTCAGAATTGAGAGGCCCCACTGCAGAGTTCACAGTATCACTGACAATGATCACAGTGTATATTTGGTTATTGTCCAGGGCTTTATCTTGTATAAGTACTTTCCTATCTATTTCTCTCATTTTGTCATCACATAATTTTCGAGAAAACTGGCCTGGAGTCAATTCTTTTGAAATTCTGAAAAGTGTGCATTTTCAGCAGGAACCAGTCTTGCTAAGTGTGTGGTGCCTCGCTTTATAAAGACAGTGCACCCTTGGAAAAGTTATATCTGAATATAACTGTGTAAGTCACATCGTATTTGAGTGGGCAATGGGTATTTGAAAACAGAAATCTCCTATAAGATTGTGTAATATACATAATCCTTTCTTCTTCTTCTCTCTCTTTTTTGTGTTTTGTTTTTTTTCTTCAATTTTTAAAGATCAGGTTTTCTTAAAGTAAGATGACATGGATTAGGATCCAGGATCAGTGTCCACTCTCCAGAATCCCATATGGGTGGCATCTAATTCAACCAGAGGGACACACTGCTGTTTCCGATTCTCAGTGTGGACTACCAGCAGCTTTATATTTCAGCCACGGAGCTCTTTGGGGCTTCCTCCCCTAAACAAAACAGAGCATACCCAGGAAGCATGGAAAGGGTCGGAGGAATCCAAATGGAACAGCGGAACTACTTCTAAGGGAACTGTCTCTGGTTTTCTGCGAGTCGCCGGTGTGTTATAAATGGCTCAGCGTGCCATCAGTAACAAATCTAGGGGGCAGCTCGGGGCCGAGGTGTGGAGTTCACAGGGTCATTCAAAATGGATCTGTTAACCCTCTCCTGCAAGTGAGCACCATCCCTGGGACCAGAACCTGAAAGAAGTTCAGCTAAATTGCACTTTTAATAAAAGTCATAAAAAGGCCCTCTTGGCTTTCCTGCTCCATCCTCAAACTCTGGCCGAAGACACATCCCTGGAGCCAACCACAGGGCTGTCATAACTGCTTTGAACCTCAACTCTCACCAGGCCCACATGTCCATCCATCAAGCCCACAGCGGCATTGTGGGACTTTTAGAATCATCCTGCATGGGGGAGGGGCTTGAAAAAGGCACCATATTTATATATCATAGTTCATGAGTGGGAATAAAGGGAAAAGCTCTTTTGGGGGGGGGGTGATATAAGCTAGAAGAGCTGGAAAAATCCTTATTAAAAAATTAGAAACTCTTTAAAAAGTTTGATATTGGCCTGACCAAAGGAAATACGGTTTCTCATATTTATTGCTTCATGTGAGTAGCTCAGATTTTCATTAAAGAGCTCGAAGTTAAGGCTTAGGAAGTACATCTCACAAAGGCCCAGCAGTTAAAGTTGAGCTTCTGTGAAATCGAGTGGAAAGAATCGAATATATAAGCACAGTGCTTGCTTTGTGCTCCATGCACACGTCAGGAACTTCCGGACCCTGGCACACAAGGTCCAAATCATTCAGAAACTAAAACAACAAACAAACAAAAAGTGAAAATGCTATTCTTATTTGCTGAAATGTTCTTGAAGCCCTCCATGGATTCTTGGCTTTTACACATTATCATTTTGTAAAGTTAGGACTAGTAACGGGAACAGAACAAGCAGCTGTAAACAAAAATCACAATTCAGGTTTCACTGAGAACATGGCGAAGGCCCCGAATATCATAGTGACTGCAGAGCACAGAAATGACCTATCCAAACGCTGTGATTAAGGGTGCTCCGAGTAATCGCTTTTTGGAAGGAGGTAGGTAGATGGAACCATTGAGAGTCACCATCGGTTAGTTCACATCAGCACCTTGGACAGCTCCCAGGACTCCCTCTCAGACTAGAGCAAATGTCAATATACCTGCAGTTTCTAAGTGTTCCTTTCATTCCAGTGAGTCTCTGGATGATCAGATAACCAACTAATAAATGCACAAGGATTCATCTGTAATAATAACTTATTCCTTCCTCTCCCCACCGCCCATTCTCCTCCCCACTCCCCTCCACTCCGCCCTCCCCCAACCCTCTCCCATCCGACAGCGGACTGTCTGTCTTACAAACGCCTGGTGTGGATGTGTCACTTCCACTTCTAACTGGTTGGGAAGCAGCATTTGCCACAGGCACTGTTTAGTGTCGTTTCCATTCCCTGCATCTCACAGGAAAATGGTCAATAGTTTGGATAAAAGAATCATCCTGGTCAGCTCCAAATAAGATATGGCTCCTTGCATGGTGTTCACAGCAAGTCTGTTGAAGCAGTGATTTCTTTATTCCTAAGAGGAAGAGGCTTTCCCTAAGGGTTATGGTTCTACCACCCAAGGAGCAGCTCTGCTCTTCACAGGTGGCTGCAAAGGCGGGCAAACCGGGAGGTCTGCTTTGGCTCAGAAATTCAGTTTGGCTCCTGCCATCCCTGGCAACCCCACTGCGTGTCTCCGCCACGGGTGCTCCACATACTTCCAGGCCAGTCGGCTTCTACTTAGGAGGGATCACAACCAGAGGTGGCCCCCGCTTGGGCCGCCACATGAGGACCTGGGCATCATTGGCGTTGGGCTTCACTAGTGCATTGGGGGGGATGGGTTCCATCCGGCTCAGGATCCGGGGCTGCTCCTGCTGAGTCCTGCCCACCAGCCGGGCCCGTTGCCCCAAGAGCTGAAGAGGGTCCACCTCAATGTCCACCCTCATCCTCCACTTAATGGTCTGCAGGATGATCTTCTCCTTGGTGGTTGTGTTCATGGCCACCAGCCAGGTGGTGAAACTTTGGTCCCTCTTGATCCTGGTGAGCAGTGGCACGTTGCTGTCGCTCACGGGCACTGCCCATGTCACACTGGGGTAGAAGTTGTCGTTCATGCTGACGGAGAACCTGGACATCTTGTTGGTGGGGCCGACCAGGGTCACAGTTTCTGTGGTGTTCCCGTACCAAGGGTAGCTCACCCCATCTGAGTCACTGATGGCTTTTACTCTCCCTTCCCTCAAGTCAGGCAGCTCCCAGCTCGACCTGGCAAAGCAGAAGAGATGCACAGAAAGGAAGAGGCTGAATGAATTTTTCAAAAGCTGGAGAGGTGCCTACCACTTCCTAACACAGCCAACTTGGGCAAAATGGGAAGTTCAGAGGGGAATTCAGATCAAAAAGTTCCATGCTGTGCTGTTTCATGATTAAATGGGAACAAATGAAAACAAACAAAAATTAAAAAGCAATACCAAAACAAGTTAAATAAAACCATAGCTGGTCCAACTGGAAGTAGAAAACTCAAATAGGCATTTGTGAGACCCACAAGGAGGCATCGACTATTTGGGATGGTGGAATTATAACCAAGTGTGTAAGGCATTCATTGCAAAACCCACTTTCTTGGGAATTATGAGTGTGTGTGAGGTTTGCTTGTTGGGAAGAGGTGCTGGTTAAGGTTTGATCTACTTGGAAGGAACTATTAGGTTGTACGAGGGCAAAAGGAGGCAAAGTGAAAGGTTACATCAATTCTTAGGAAATCCCTGTAGTAGAATTTCTACTCAACAAAGAAGGTTGTTTAAACCCCAGTCACTAGTCAACCTAACTTAGAAAATATAGACATAGAACCTGGTGACACAAGGAGATAAGTGTCACCTCTGGAACCACCTCGAAGTGAACGCTTGCGAAGGCTGGCAGACAAAGTCTCTCACAGCGATTCTCTCATTGGCTTCAAGTCCAGTCTGGAAGTCTAATTGCTTCGTTTAGCAAATTTGCCATTTGGGCATTTTGCTACTCTTCCTGGCTGTCCCCAACCTTGTGCAGAAGGAAGAAAGAGGACATGTGCCCAACTCTTAGCCCATGTCTCTCTCCCCTGCCATGGACTCATTATCAACACCATCATTACCATCATCATCATCATCACTACCACCACCACCCCCACCATCACCACTGTCACCATCACCATTATTACCATCATCATCACCACCACCACCACCATTATCACCATTATCAACACCATTATTATAATCACCATTACCACCATCACCATCATGATCACCATCATTACTGTCATCAGCAGCAGCATCACCATTGCGATCATCACCATCATCACCACCATCATCATAGCTGGCACTTTTTTTTTTTTCTCCTTTTTTTATTTTTTTTTTAATTTTAATTAAATCTTTATTGTTCAGATTATTACATTTGTTCCTCTTTTTTCCCCCCCATAACTCCCCTCCTCCCAGTTCCCGCCCCACCCTCTGCCCTCACTCCCCACCCACTGTCCTCATCCATAGGTGCACGATTTTTGTCCAGTCTCTTCCCGCATCTCCCACACCCCTTTCCCCCCCAAGAATAGTCAGTCCATTCCCTTTCTATGTCCCTGATTCTATTATAATCACCAGTTCATTCTGTTCATCAGATTATTTATTCACTTGATTCTTAGATTCACTTGTTGATAGATGCATATTTGTATGATAGATTTCATAATTTGTATCTTTACCTTTTTCTTCCTCTTCCTCTTCTTAAAGGATACCTTTCAGCATTTCATATAATCCTGGTTTGGTGGTGATGAACTCCTTTAGCTTTTCCTTATCTGTGAAGCTCTTTATCTGACCTTCAATTCTGAATGATAGCTTTGCTTGATAAAGTAATCTTGGTTGTAGGTTCTTGCTATTCATCACTTTGAATATTTCTTGCCACTCCCTTCTGGCCTGCAAAGTTTCTGTTGAGAAATCAGCTGACAGTCGTATGGGTATTCCCTTGTAGGTAACTGAGTTTCTTTCTCTTGCTGTTTTTAAGAGTCTCTCTTTATCTTTTGCTCTTGGCATTTTAATTATGATGTGTCTTGGTGTGGTCCTCTTTGGATTCCTTTTGTTTGGGGTTCTCCACGCTTCTTGGACCTGTAAGTCCATTTCTTTCACCAGGTGGGGGAAGTTTTCTGTCATTATTTCTTCAAATAGGTTTCCAATATCTTGCTCTCTCTCATCTTCTGGCACCCCTATAATTCTGATGTTGGTACGCTTGAAGCTGTCCCAGAGGCTCCTTACACTATTCTCGCATTTTTGGATTCTTTTTTCATTTTGCTTTTCCGGTTGGGTGTTTTTTGCTTCCTCGCATTTCAAATCATTGACTTGATTCTTGCGCTCCTCTGGTCTGCTGTCAGGTGTCTGTATAATATTCGTTATTTCAGTCCGTGTATGCTTAATTTCTAGTTGGTTCCCCAATATAACATCGAGGGTCTCATTAGTTTTCTTGTAGATCTCATTAAGTTTATCGGCGGCTTCTAAACAGTTCTTGAGAGACCTTAAAAGTGTGGTTCTGAACTCTATATCTTCCATTGACAATTTTGTCCTGTTTCTTTGTCTCCGCATTTTGTTATGCTTCCTTGGTGCACCCCCTAGTGGTCTTTGTTCGCAGTCTTATAGTTAAACCTTGTTGTATCAACACCATTATTATAATCACCATTACCACCATCACCATCATGATCACCATCATTACTGTCATCAGCAGCAGCATCACCATTGCGATCATCACCATCATCACCACCATCATCATAGCTGGCACTTTTTGAGCACTTGCTCTATTCCAACCACTGTGCTAAGTGCTATATGTTTTCTTAGTCAATGCTCAAAATATACTGCAAGATAAATGAATTTTTATTTTCATTTACATGTAAGAGGATGGAGGCACTTCAAATTCTAGATGGGCCAAACCAAACTCGCCTTGTTCACGGTAAAGTGGGCCCTTTCCCCATTGCTGCTGCAGGGGTGGCCCAGTGCTAACTGTCTTCCAGGTCAGAGGTGAGGTCATCTTTGGCTTCTCCTATACCCTCTCCTGGACTGCCACACCTACTGCACCACCACATCCTGTGAATCTTGCTCCATAAATGATGCTTGAATTTATCTCCTTTTCTGCATCCAACTCTCACTGCCCTCAGCATCTCTGACCTGGTCTATGGTAACGGTCTCTAACTGGTCTCTCAGAGACGCAGATATGATTGTGCCCTTTCTACGTCTAAACCCCCCCAAAGGCTCCTCTACCTGGGCCCCAATGGCTTCACCCACAGCATAAAATTCAAGTTCATTAATAGGACAAAGTGGCTCTCAAGGTCTGGCCTCCTCATCCCCACACACTATTCTGTTTCTCACCTCTTCCCCTTTGCTCATGCCCCGCCCTCTGCCCACACCATTTTCTCCCTCCTAGTCTCATTGTACCTAACTACTCTTCCTCTGAGAATCACTGAATGTATCACCTCCGCCAGGAAGCCCTCTCTTCCGTGCTCCTAGGGATGTATTCAGACCTTCACAGGCCCTGATTAGAATGATCTGTTTTTGTGCCTATCTTTCCCTTTAGGTTATGATTGCCTTCAGGCTTGGGACTGTGACTTATTTTTGAATCACTGGTGTCTAGCACATTGCTGATAATAATAGATCTTAATAAATCTCCACCAAAGGAATAAGTAAATATTTGACTGGAATCATTTTCATGCCTCTATGCCTGTAGCTTGGTAGAACTTGTATACAACAAAGCACGTTACCACAGGTTTACACTTTATATGTTCACTCACCTTAAAAAACAACAGCACACTAGCATCTACTGTTCACTTAGGGTCTACTATTAGAACAGCTCCATGCCTAACGCTGAAGGTTATGTGTGCTTAAGGGGGGGGGGGGGAGCCCTGGGCCTTCTCCGTGCAGCACCGGCAGCACCTGTCGGAGGCAGGGACCAGCGTACGCTGTTCACACAAGCAAAGGCTCCTCTGAGTGAAACGGGCTGAGAAGCAGCTGGGGCCTCCTACGTCTCCGAGCGATGACAGGGGCCAGCGAAGCGGGGTGTGCAGGTGCTCGGAAGCGCTAACACGCCGGGCCAATGTGAGTTATTATCTCGTCCCTCCTTCTCGAGAACCACAACCTCTTCTCCGCTGTGATAAGCACAGTGTTTGCGTTTTAGACAATCAGCCATTGACCCAGCACTCACAGCTAATGGACTCGCCAATGGAGCTAATAATGAAAACATCGATTACTGCAACCTTCACGCTTCCTGCGTCTCTTTTATAAAAGAAAGAGGCAAATCTCAAACAAGCTCGTGTGAAGCATTTCACTCAAATAAGTGGGCCCTGGGTGAAGGTCCAGGTGCCACCAGACCGGCCAGGTCTCCAGGGCCCACCGGGCACAGCCACTCTCTGAAGAGCCCACTTGGCTCCCTGAAGCCCTGTGGTCACTGAGGAGATGGGAGCTGGTGTTCTAGAAGGCAGGGCCCGGGCTGGTGTGGGATGGGAGTGGGGGATCACACACGGAGGGTGCCCACAGCCCTCCCAGGGAGGCTTGGAGATTCGTGATGGAGCTCCCCCGGCCCAGGTGACAGGAGTCCCTGCCTAGTCCCTCATGCAGAGGGGCTGGGACACCCCCTTGGGTCACTTCTGGCTGTGCCCCTCCACACTGAGAGGACCTGGGGCTAAGAGGATGAGAGCCCCTCCTTCCAGACCACACTCTGGGGACCTGAGGCCTCAGTATTCCCACCCAAGTGGCCCCAAGCTCACAGTGACAGAGTCCCCACTTGGAGATGTGGAAAGTTAGGTTATGGGAACACCACACTGAGCACCAGGCTGAGGAGAGCAGTGTGCCCATGTGCCAGCCAGTGCCACTTGACATGGCACACCCAGCGCCCCACACTGTTCTGTTCCCCAAGCCCCTCCAGGAAGGAGCTGGAAATAAGCCCGGGTGGAAGGTAAGAGAGGGGAGCGGATGGAGACCCCCTCAAGGGCAGGTGCGGGGAGAGGGCTGTGCTGGGAGGTGGGGGCAGCAGGGGCGTGTCACCTGACGAGTCACGAAGCCACAGCCTCTGGGTGGCCTGTCCACCCACACGGATGCCAATCCCAGCCCCGGCACTGGCCCGGGTCCTGATTCTCAGATGGTTTGCACCAAAATTACAGAGTAAGTTTAAAATTAGGTTTTCCTCCTGCTGCACTGTGTATGTCAGATTCGGAAGCCTGTGACTACCACCTCCCACCCCCCCTCCGCACCCTCCCTTCCGACCACATCCTTTCCTGA